GTCTACTCATACACATATTTATCCAGGAATGGATAACACAGAACTCTATAGGACTTACTTCAGAGCAGACCTACATACACTTGCAGAATAAGAGGCACCCAACGGAGAAAAGTTCATATAACAGCCACACTTAGCTTTTCAGTTTGAGGAGAAGGAAAAAAGAAAGAAAGAAGCACTTACTAAAGATTCTGTCTAAGATCAACTAGAGTTGCAGTCCTCAACCTCTGTACTCCAGATGCTTAGGACTTCAAAAAAATACAAAGCAAAAATATACTATTTATATACTGCCCTGTAACACTTAAAACACTCTCTGGGCAGTTTACAATTTCATTTATGCAAGCTACACATCCCTCCCCAAAGCTGGATACCCAATTTGCCAACCTCGGATGGATAGAAGGCTGAGCTATCTGGGCTATCCAGCCAGCTATCTGGGATTGAACCCGTGTCGTGAGCAAAGTTCTCCCTGCAGTACTGCAGTTTAACCACTGTGCCACAAAACTTCAGTACCTATAGTTCTCAGCCAGCCTAGCCAAGGATCAGGAGCTGGACCAAAACACCTAGAGAACCACTGGCCTAAAACCTATTATTACAACATTTTAGCAACCAGTTAATTATACATTTATTTACAAGCCTGCTATAACACCCACACACAAAGAGCTCAAGGATTCCTGCAGTCTCACCCATGCATCTCCCATACACGTCCACATCATATCTACATTTTCAAGTGATGCTTTAATGCACTTTACCGTGTATTTCTATAGGGGCAGTCTGAACCATTTCCTTGGTGAGTGAATGCAAGAATTTTCCAACCCATGTACAATATCTGTCTGGTAATATAATCAATACTCATACCACTAGAAGCTGATAGGTTTTAAAGGCCAGAGCAAAGGATCCACAAGAATCCAAACATGAGACTATGTACTGCTACATACAGTGGTGCCTCGCTTGACAAGGATAATTCGTTCCGTTGAAATCTTGTTAAGCGCAATCCTCGTCAAGCGAAACGAAAAAGCCAATTGAAATGCACTAAAAACTGGTTCAATGCGTTCCAATGGGCTAAATCCCTCAGTGTCCAGCAAAGATCCTCCATAGGGGCAGCCATTTTCGGTGCCTGTAAAGCAAGGGATCCGTCCTAAATCACAGCAGGGAGCCATTTTGCACAGCAGGCAAAAGCGATCGCAAAAACTTCATTGTCAAGGGGTTTCGTCGTTTAACAAGGTAATCGTTAACCGAGGCACCACTGTATTTCAGATCTCATATGGACTTAGCTATGCATAAAAATAATCACTCTCACTGCGTAATTTGGGCTGAACTTCTCAGTACACTGTGAGATATCTGCTTCCCTGATGCATAGTCACTATTAACTATGTGCTGACAACGGTTCTCTACCAGCTGCTACATTTGACCCTTGTCACCATGCTATCATTCTATTCTAGTTCCTCTGCAAAATTATCCCTTGAGTGCTTCTGCCTATAGTGCTGTTCTCACACCAGGTCTCAACACAGACTGCTTCAGAAGTCCACAAACTGTGACCTGCCTTGGCATCCCACCCAAATTAAAGATCTTCATGATGCTGTGCTTCCATCCATGAAGATCTGTAATGCAAGAAGCATTACCCAGATCTGAATCCACTGATATAGATTAAGAACTCTTACAATAGTGTCGTATTAAACCCACATCAGTGCTTGTTTCCTTCAAGTGCTCCGACAGGCTGCCTTCTAGATGTAATTACTGTACAATATATATCAGAATCAAAAAGAGAGGCTTCACCTTGCAAGGATGAAATCGAGAAGAAATCAATACAAAGAAGATAAATGTTTCTTTCTCAAGAACTGCAGAATTTCAAACATAAAGTAGTTTCTCCCCCTTTCTCTCTTTCTCTTTGAAAAATCTCTTTTTTATCTGAAGGTGCTGTTTGAAAACTCTGAATAATGCTTGGATTATTTGTGCAGATATCTAGTTTTGATCCTGTCATGTGCACGGCTTTGTATGTTTACCTGGAAACAAATTGCACTAAGTAAAACTGGAGTAACTCTCTGGTGCTTACATAGGATTCCAGCTTTTATTTTTCCAAATCTTTTCTCTTCCCCCCCACGCCCACCAAACTTTTATTTCAGCCTATAAAATGAGCCTAGAATTTTAAAAATGTCATCAAAAAGGTCAATGTCACAAAACTTTCTGCTATTAATCATAGCTATAAAGCAGGTCTAATAAAATTATTAAAAGCCTAATAAAACAAATCACAGTATGGAGAGGAAGTAGCATATGAAGTTAGAAACAAGAAATATGTCAGTGAGGATAGGAGTAGAAAGGCATGGTAATTTTTTAAAAAAGTTTCCCAAATGTAGCTGGAATGTTACATTTTTAAAAGACAAGGATACAAGCACAATCCTGAAATGCACATAGTTAGGAGCAATTTAATAGGGCTTAACTCACTGTAAAGACATATATGATAGTTTACGAATCCAGTGCACATCTACGCAGTCTCAGTGAATTAAGCGAGTTTTACTTCTAGGTAATATGCAACACTATTCTATGCAAACTTATATTTGATTAGACCCCACATGACTCAATATAGCTTATCCCTGAGCAGATATTTACAGAACTGCACTGTTAAATTTACTTCGTATGTTTTCAATAACTTAAGCACATACATAAATGTGTACACACACACACAAACACCATGGGTAGAAATGACATGCCACAGGAAATAAATATATAAATCCAGTGTCTTCTTCCCCCTCCACCTTCAAAAGCAAGAAGGCAAAATCAGCGCTGGAAATGAATTATATTCAAGAGGTATATGCTCATAAACATCATGTGCATTGTTAACAACACACTGGCAATACACTTGTCTTTCCAGCTGTGGCGAACAATCTGGTGCTGAAGTTAAAAATGAAGACCAAAGCACCCTAGAAGGCCACAGGTTTTATAAAACAAACAGGTTAATGCCACTTTTAAGATCTGCTCTTTATCAGGAGATCTCGGGCATGTATGTTGGGCGACTTTAGGGATATAGGTTGCAAACCACCCAGGAAAGACTAAAGCTCAGCAGTGCCTCTATTGGTCCATTTATGTTACTGTAAATAGAAGGGGGGGGCAGAGAAACAGAAACACACACACACACATACACACACCACTCCTCTTCTTCCAAGCTTTCCTGGCGTTTTTAACTTTTTGTCAGCCTTAGGCTATGCTTATAAAAGGGAATGAGTGGGCACATTCTGCAAAATATTGCCTTTAACCAAGTGGAGGGGGGGGAAGCAGAGAAAACACTCTCCCCCACCACCACTACCCCTGAGCACCACACACAGCATGAAGCAGGAGGCTCAAGCAAACGCCCAACAACCAAGCATCATTTCAGATATACTCGGTACTCCACAACTGCCAAGGAAGGAGAGGCCCAGGATAAGCCCAGCTGCCCCCATCCTGTAAGACTTCAGAATCCCAATTGCTCCTTCAACCCCAACAAAGAACTAACCTCCTCCCCAAAACCTAATCTGTGTCATTCCCATGCCATCAAGGTCAATACTGTGACACTACTAAGGTTTAATCTGACTAAAGGTGTGCAGAATCGCTGCAGGTAGAAGCAAGAAGTCAGGAGGTGAAATCAGGATGACACCCAAATGGGTCTGGTTCTTAATGCCAGAAGACAGCCAGCCGGAATGGGGAGAGTATTCTCATCCCACACCCTGTTGGCATGGCTGGAGTGCATTGCCTATACACAGAGTATCTGACATGGAGCAGGAAGGCAGGCTGGCTGGCGCGCTCGCACACGCACACATACACACAACTGGCATTTATACCCAGTGATATCCAGCTTCTGCCTGGGGAAGCAATGCACCAAATCTGAGATCACAGGCAGGCAAGGATAAAGCTGGAGAATGTGTATGTGTAGGGGGAAAGGGTATTCCTAACCTCTTATGTGCAAAATAATAATAATAATAATAATTTTAAAAACATTGCTTTGAGAGTTGCAGGGAGTGTAACTCTAATTTAAGGCGATCCTCTGCCAGTTCTCTCAATGTGGAAATCCACCCAGAGTGAAGTGGGGTTTCTTCTCAGGCGGTGGGAGAGAGAGAGAGAGAAAATAAAAGAGGGGGAGGTCTCCATTTGGCTGCTTAAAGAGGAGCAGGAGAAAGATCAGGCAGCAGCCCGAGTCATGAAAAAGGCGATCCATATACATGTAGGATGGGGAGAGCCAGAGAGCTAGCGGGGACACACACACACACACAGAGGGAGGAAAGGATGAGGGATCACGCCTGCTGCCCATGCAGCACAGCCGGAGAGATGCTTGACCCTCTCTCCCTCTCTCCGCTCCACCACCACATCCACGGGCTGCCAGGGATGGGGCATGCAAAGGAGGCGAACCCCCACGGGGGGGGGGAAGAAGAGGAGGGGGCGCCCAGATCGCTTAAGAGGGCGTGAAACCGGCGAGCCGAAGTTGTGCAGAGCGGCGGCGGCGGGTGCGGGGGAGCGGGATTCGCGGCGCCGGCGGTCCCTGCTCCGCGCGCCGC